GCGTCCCTCCCCGCGACCCCAGCGGTTCAGCACCCCCGGGCCCATGACCTGAGACACCCAGCCTTCGCGGTCCTCCCCGGCGAGCTGACCGGCCCGTTCTCGTCCCGCGGGTCCTGCAGGCTCTGGCAGTAGCCACACTGCTATGGTGACTGTAGGCAACTACTGCGGGGCCGAAGGGCCCGTGAGTTCGGCCTGGGCACAGAATGGCCTGAGTCCCTGCTTCTTCTTCACGTTCGTGCCCGCGACGCTGATGACCCTGGGGGCCCTGGCCGTGGTGCTGGCTCTTCCCTGCAAGCGTCGGGAGCAGCCTGTTGGCTCCGACGCTCTTTCCTGGGAGACCGGCCCTCGCGTCGCTCCCTATGGGCTACAGCTGCTTCTGGCCGTGCTTCAGGTGGTGCTGCCCCTGGCCGGCCTGGCTGGCCGGGTGGGCACCGCCCGGGGAACCCCTCTGCCAGGCTATCTACTGCTGGCATCTGCGCTTGAGAGCCTGGCCAGCGCCTGTGGCATCTGGCTGCTCGTGGTGGAAAGGAACCAGGCACGGCAGAGTCTGGCAATGGGCGTCTGGATCAAGTTCAGGCATAGCCCGGGTCTCCTGCTTCTCTGGACGGTGACCTTTGCAGCCGAGAACTTGGCCCTGGTGTCTTGGAACAGCCCGCAGTGGTGGTGGGCAAGGGCTGACGTGGGCCAGCAGGTGAGGGACCAGTGGGGAGGAGGGGAAGCATTGATGCCAGGAAGCACTGTGTCTGGACATACTGGCTCCATGCTTTGGGATGGCTCTTAATAAAAAGAAGGGAATGGCTGGCTGTGTCAGCTGGGAGCTGATAGCCAGCTGGTGGGGTGTGTCAGTGCTGAGTCACTGTGGGTTCTTTTTTTTTTTTTTAAGTCTATTAGGTGCTGGGCCCTTGTAGAGAGGTCTTGGGTGTATGGAGAAAACAATGGGATTTTGGCCTTCGTTCATGTTCTCTGTACGTTTCATCCTAGGTTCAGTTTGGCTTGTGGGTCCTGAGATATGTGGTTTCTGGAGGGCTGTTTGTGCTGGGGCTCTGGGCCCCTGGACTTCGTCCCCAGTCCTACACCCTTCAGGTTCATGAAGCAGACCAAGATGTAGAAAGGAACCAGGTACCCTCATTTTCTGAATGCTGGAGTCTCAGTATTTCCTGTGTGTGTGTGTGTGTGTGTACTACAGATTAGAACCTAGGGTCTTGTGAATTCTAAGCACATTTAGCTGCATCCCAGTCAGTACTTTTTTTTTTTCTTTTTGTGGTACCTGGGATTGAACTCGGGACCTTGAGCTTGTGAGGCAGGCATGGTGCCATTGAGCTAAATCCCTGGCCCTCATCCCAGTACTTCTAAATCCAGGGTCTCTCTTACTTTTATTCCCTGTTATTCCTTCTTCCTACATTGAATCACTAGTTCTTTCCCAAAACTCTATCTGTGACCTGATAGCTTTTCTGACCCTATGAGCGTGAACCTGTGGGCCTCAGAAAATTGGGAGCTGTGGCCTCGTACATTATTCCCTTGAGTGTTTCTGGCTAACACACTTTTTGATTTCTGAATTCCCTCCCCTGTGTTTGTTGTCATCCTAGGTTCCATCAGCAAACCAACCATCTACTTGGAGGGACCTTGGCCGGAAGCTCCGCCTACTCAGTGGCTACCTGTGGCCTCGAGGCAATCTTGTTCTACAGCTGGTTGTGCTTCTCTGCCTGGGACTTATGGGATTGGACCGAGCACTCAATTTGTTGGTCCCCATCTTCTATAGGGATATTGGTGAGGGAGAGGAGCTGAGCTCAGCTTGCTGGTTCTTCATTGTCCTGGTGGCTGGGGAGCCCCTTGCCTCAGAAGGCAGAACACAGTTGGGAGCTGGATAGAGGGTATGGCTGATGCCTGGGGCAGTTTTGCCTGAAGAGAGTCCTGGGTGCTAAAGTAGACCCTTTTTCTTCACAGTGAACTTGTTGACTGAGAAGGCCCCTTGGAGCTCTCTGGTCTCAACTGTTACCATCTATGTTTTACTCAAGTTCCTCCAGGGGGGTGGCACAGGCAGTACAGGTATGAAGTTATTATCTGCCCCTCCTGTGGGCCTTCCCTCACTGTCATACCTCTTTGAGCCCCTCTTTGACCTTTCACATCCTGCTGTAGGGCTGATATCCCTTAGCCCCCAAGCCCTACTGTGGCACTGCTGGCTCCCTCAGGCTTTGTGAGCAACCTGCGCACATTCCTGTGGATCCGGGTACAGCAGTTCACATCGCGGCATATGGAGCTGCGCCTCTTCTCCCACCTGCATGAGCTTTCACTGCGCTGGCACCTGGGCCGCCGCACAGGGGAGGTGCTGCGGATGATGGACCGTGGGACATCCAGTGTCACAGGGCTGCTCAGGTGCCATACCAGCAGAGAGGGCATGTGGGTGGGTGGTGCTGAGAAGCAGGGATGGAGGAGCTGTCAGGAGAATAGGCCCACCCCAAGCTACTGCCCCTCCTACCTTGGGTGATCTGCTTCTTCAATTACAGGAGTAATAATTCCAATAATGCAGGGAACGAGTGATTTTTTAATTTCACTCCTCTGGAGTTTCCTGCTCTGTTCAGTGTGTTAAGTTCTGCTTTGTTGCACTTTTTTTTTTGGTACTAGGGATCAAACTAAGATCCTGATCCTTGCACTTGCGAGGCAGGTGGCGGCACCACTGAGCTAAATCCCCGGCCGTTGCGCTTTTATTTACAATTTTTTTAGACCCAGGTTTATGAAAGTTTTTTTGGTTTGTTTCTTTCTTTTTTGAAACAGTCATGCTATGCAGTTTAGGTCAGCCTTGAATTCATTATGTAGCCCAGGCTCATAGCAGTTCTCCTGCCTTAGCCTCCTGAGTACTAGGTGTGTGCCCACCATGCCCAGTTTATGGAAGTGTTTTCTAAGACAAATGAAATCCCAACATAGGTATCATTTTCACAGTTGCTTTAGTAAAACCTTATGGAAATAACATTTTCATCTGTGCACGAAGATTTTACTTGTTCATGGTAACTGATAGGGTCACCCACCTCTTAAGGGGCGTTTAGAGGAGTCCAGTCTGTTATTGTTGAAGCACTGCACTGAAGCTCCTCCAGGTAGGGTTGGTGATTCTTACCCCACTAACTTGTCTCTTGACTCGCCCACCCAGCTACCTGGTGTTCAACATCATCCCCACGCTGGCTGACATCATCATCGGCATCGTCTACTTCAGCATGTTTTTCAACGCCTGGTTTGGCCTCATTGTGTTCGTGTGCATGACTCTTTACCTCAGTGAGTGCTGCCCAGTGAAACCATCTTCCCGGATCTGTCTGGGGACTCCCTTGGGCATGAGCCCTGATCCCTCTCAGGTGACCCTCCTTTGGGCGCTGAGGACTGGTGGGGTTGATTAGGCTCCTGCTGCTCCTGGTGTGATTGGCAGGTCCCGTGTCCATTTGAACCTTAGCCCAACCTAGAGGGAGGGATAGGGAAGGTCTCTTCTGTGGTCTCAGGTGAAGGAAAACCCTCATTTGTATAGCAAGATGTCATTTATTTGTTCACCAAGTGTTTTCTGTACCTCAGCCTCTATGCAGACTGCAAAGGTGCTTGCAGGTATCTTCTTCCCATGCTGAGCTTACAGTGTCTCCCTCTGGAGCCTTGGTCCCTAGGCCCTCGAACGCTGTTGGTGTATATGGCAGGTAGCAGACACTTGGTCTCTGGTGTTGAGGATGATGTCCTATTCGTTCTCCCCCGCTTTCTGCCATGCTCTAGTTCTGACCATCGTGGTCACTGAATGGAGAGCCAAGTTTCGCCGTAGTATGAACACACAGGAGAACATCACCCATGCACGAGCCGTGGACTCACTGCTGAACTTTGAGACGGTAACAGAAGCCTGAACCACAGTTGGTGGGAAGCATGGAAACGTGGGGAAGTGTTGCTGGGACCACTAAAGTGATGAGCTGTAGGCGTGATATTTGAAATCAGGAAGGAGGGATTGGGAGTTCAGAGGGAGTGAGCAGAGGGCCTTATGCTGTTTGAATTCATCAGGTGAAGTACTATAATGCCGAGAGTTATGAAGTGGACCGATTTCGAGAGGCTATCTTCAGGTATCAGGTGAGGATGCAAGTGCTTGGCCTCCTGAACATGGAGCTGGCCTTGGGCTTTGCCAGGACAAAGAGTAAGATCCAGGGGGTGGGATTGAGAGGCCTGGGCCCAGGGTGAGATTCTGTGATGGCCTGTGCCTATAGGACATTCTTCCCTTCTGTGTGACTGACCTCAGGCTTTAGAGTGGAAATCAAACGCTTCGCTGGTTTTGCTGAATCAGACCCAGAACTTGGTAATTGGACTCGGGCTCCTTGCTGGCTCTCTGCTCTGTGCATATTTTGTCAGTGAACAGAAGTTACAGGTAAGACAGAGTGATGGACAAGTGAGGCCAGGGAAGAGGGGTCTGAGCCACAAGCCTGGGTAGGTGCAGGAAGAGCTTCCTTTGGTCTCTACAGGTTGGGGACTTTGTGCTTTTTGGCACTTACATCATCCAACTGTACATGCCCCTCAACTGGTTTGGCACCTACTACAGGTAACCTGATCCCTGGCCCTCACCTGTCCAGGGTGCATTGCTATTTTCTGGTTCCTCAGAGGAGCCCAACTGTCACCCTTACTGCAGGATAATCCAGACCAACTTCATTGACATGGAGAACATGTTTGACCTGCTGAAAGAGGAGCCAGAAGTGAGTGGAGAGAGAGAACAGTAGGGCTTGGGGATGGGATTATCTTGTCTGGAGAATTCCAGGCCTATAACAGCATTATGCATTGTCTGCATTCTCCTAGGTAAAGGACCTTCCTGGAGCAGGGCCCCTTCACTTTCAGAAGGGCCAGATTGAGTTTGAGAACGTGCACTTTGGCTATACCGATGGGTGAGCCTGCACCTTTTCCTTCTTTACATTCCCCTTGTCCATTGTTTGGCACACTGCTTTCCTGCGCTGAACCCCAGCTTTGCAGCCCACCTCTACGTGGGGACAGTGCCTGGGCAGGTAGGGGAGGGCCCAGTAGTAGCTCTGGTGATGGCAGCGGCCTGCTGACCCCACGTACCCTTTCTTGCAGGAGGGAGACACTGCAGGATGTGTCCTTCACAGTGATGCCTGGACAGACACTGGCCTTGGTGAGAAGAGACCCAGCCACTTAGCCCTTAGTCCTTGAGTTTCCCTCATTCATTACACTGGCAGCTCATAGCCCAGGCTAGGGAATCAGAGCCCTGTCTTGATGAGCAACAGGGTTGAATGTGATAGTCTATGTGGCTATTAATGGCCTCTTAGAAAGGGAGATTGAAAAGCCACTGGGCCTATGAGTTTACCACTCCTTTTCCAACATAACAGGTGGGCCCATCCGGGGCAGGAAAGAGCACAGTGTTGCGCTTGCTGTTTCGCTTCTATGACATCAACTCTGGCTGCATCCGAATAGATGGGCAGGACATTTCACAGGTAAGTCTGCCGGTGAGAAGGCTATACTTTATGGGCCTGTGTGGACAGGTAGTAGGGGCTGGGCATCCAAAGCAAGGAGGTATCACCTCTTCAAAATTCTGGGGCCTTCCTAGCACTACATGACCTGCAGTCACACTAAGAAAATAATCATGGGAATGATTTGCCATGGTGCTGTCCAGTGTACAGTTCTGCAGCAGTCCAGTGAAGCAGGCAGACAGTGCATTTTCTTATTTTGGAGAGGAAAACACTTGGAAAGCTTGTGTCATTTCACCACTCAGCTGGGATTTGCCAGTCCTTTCTACCTCTCAGGCCTGGGAGGATCTCACAGGCAGGCTTCCCGGTGCTTTGGCCCCAGGTGACCCAAGTTTCTGTCCGGTCTCACATTGGAGTCGTGCCCCAGGACACTGTCCTCTTCAATGACACCATCGCCAACAATATCCGCTATGGCCGTGTCACAGCTGGGAACGATGAGGTGGAGGCTGCTGCTCAGGCTGCAGGCATCCACGATGCCATTCTGGCTTTCCCTGAAGGTGACGTTCCTCCTCTGAGACTCCCCTCCCCTGTCTGTTATAGTCCATTAATGTCTCTCACCTGTTTCATCCCTTACTTGCCTACCTGGTCACAGAAACCAAGTTTATTATGTGTGACTTGAGGGATGTGGGCATCATCCACAGGGTACGAGACACAGGTGGGTGAGCGGGGACTGAAGCTAAGCGGTGGAGAGAAGCAGCGAGTTGCCATTGCCCGCACCATTCTCAAAGCTCCAAACATCATTCTGCTGGATGAGGTGAGGCCTCACAGCCTTCTCCTCTGCTCTCCCGTCTGTGTCCATGCTGCTCCTGCTGGGTGATTCTTGCTTAGCGTCAGTATTACTACTCCGTGTTCCACCAAACCCTTTACAGTTCTCAACCCCACTCCAGCAGCTGACATCCTCATCCTGTTGGGGTGACAGGGGCATTTTACCCATGCCCTCTCTGTAGGCAACATCAGCACTGGATACATCTAACGAGAGGGCCATCCAGGCTTCACTGGCCAAAGTCTGCACCAACCGCACCACCATCGTAGTGGCACACAGGTACAGGACCACAGCACTGGGTGGATGGCAGCATGGGCCACTTCCAGTGGTATAGTAGGTAACAGATCTCTTGACTTCTCAGGCTGTCAACTGTGGTCAGTGCTGACCAGATCCTTGTCATAAAGGATGGCTGCATAGTGGAAAGAGGACGGTGAGATGCGCAGGATGAACAGGGCAGGTGCTTTGGCGGGTCCTCCTTGCCTGTCCCCTCTGTGGGCCAGTGGCAAGGCCTCTAAGGTGCAGCTGATGGGTGGAACTTACATTTGCCTCCTTGCCCCAGGCACGAGGCTCTGTTGTTGCAAGGTGGGGTGTATGCCAATATGTGGCAGCTGCAACAGCGGGGACAGGAAGGCGCCTCTGAAGACACCAAACCTCAGCCCACGGCACAGTGACAAGTCACAGCATCTTCCCTCCAAAAAGCTAACTCAGGGGAATAAGACATAGCCCTTTTCCCTGGCTTATTTCATTCTGGTCTAGAGGTGTGGTGCTAGCTGTCTGAGGGAAAGGGACCTTTCAAAAATGCACTTTTTGGGGAAATAAAGTGTGGACTACTCAAAGATCACTGTGACTGTTGTGTGGGGCACTGCAAGGGACCTCTACCATTAAGCCCGGATTTTTCTGTTTTGTGTTGGAAAGGAGAAACACTCATGTCTTACTGACTGCCGAGATCTTTATTCTCTCCAGGCTCCTCTCTGCCCGCTACATGTTGGGGCAGCCCTAGGGTAAGAGGGGTAACATGTTGAAGGGGGTTGAGAGCAGAGCCTGGCCAGCCCCAGTGGAGAGCCAGTGGTTCCCAGCCATTCTCTCCCTGCAGCCAGAGAGCCAGCAGGGCTTGTCTAGGCTCGGTTTGGCAAGGTTTCTGTCGAGGCTCCTGGAGCAGCCTCCGCCTCACTCCTGCTTGTCTTTGTCTCCAGGCTGCTCTCCGCCTCCTCCCTGTGTACCCTGGAGGTGTGAGGGCCTTCTCAGCTGAGCCTCCCTCCCAAGCCCAGGACCCTAGCACAGGCTGCAGTTGGTCAGCTTTGAGCTGCGGCTCTGCACCTGGAGCAAGGAGAAGGGAAGGAGGACACAGGGTGCAAAGTCAAGGAAAAGAGAGGAGAGGCCTTGTTTCAGAGTTCAGCATGGGCTGCTGTCACAAAGCAGAAAGAACCACCATCCCAAACTCCACCACCTGGAAAAAAAACCCTTCCCCACCTCTTATTGCTAGCATAGGGTCCCACCTGTACTCTGCTGTCCTCATACCTGCTGCCGCTGGTACTCTGCTTCACTGGCGGAAAGAGCCTGAGCTAAAGCCAAGTCTTCTTCTTCCTGAGAGCTGGAGGGAAGAACAGCTTAAGTTGGCTGGCAATATATAACGTTTTTTTTTGTTTTTGTTTTTTTGGTTTTTTGAGACAGGGTCTCACTATGTAGTTGAGACTGACCTGGAACTCGCTACGTAGCCCAGGCTGGTCTTGAACTCACAGCAATCCTCCTGCCTCAGCCTCCCGAGTGCTGGGATTACAGGCATGCGCCACCATGCCTGGCAAGGAACTAACTTCTATACAGTGGGAATGCTAACAACCACCCTGTGGTCAGACCCAGAGATGCTCTGCACGGGGATGCCTAACAGATCAGATGCTCAAATGGTACTTATTAGAGTCTGGTGTGGTGGCACACGCCTGAAATCTCAGCACTCAGAAGGACGAGGCAGGAGGATTGCCAAGAGTTCGAGGCAGCCTGGGCTACATAGTGAGTTTAAGACCAGACTGAACTACATAGTGAGGACCCTGTCCCAAAAAAACCCCCCCAAAAAAGTTAGTTCTTTGTAGGATAAAGAGCTTGTCAAAGATCCTCTAGTTCATCTTAGTCTTTTTTTGTTTTGGAGTCAGGGTTTCACTTTGACAGCTTGTTTGAAGGTTCTGGCACGGGAGCACAGCTCTCATATATCCCCGGACTGAAGAACCTGTTTTCCTCTATTGAGAGTGGTCATTGTCTTCTTTGACTGAGCATGCAGCTTCAGGAGGGACCAAACATGGAACAGTGAGCAAGTAAAGCAACACCTGCCTCACCAGCCAGAACAGCCAAATCAACCTGGCAATCAATGGGATGAGAGATGTCTCAGCCAGATCGCCCTCACATCCCAGGGTCTCGCCTTGTACTGCAGGCAGGCTTGGAACTCTGCAGCCCTCCTGCCTCAGCCTCCCAAGTGCTGGGATCACAGGCATGCACTTCAATGCCTGGATAGTTCATCTTATCTTGAGCTCAAGTTCCTGTATCTTGCACTGGGTTGGTGTGGTCCTACATCTCCTTGCAAATTGACCCACATCCTACCCTCTTTTCCACCAGAGTAGGTACCTTGGGACCTGGGGTTTGGTTTCTGCCAGGGATAATTCCAGGGCACGTTGCAGGGCCTCATCCTCACTCTACAAAGGGAGAAAGAAGATGAACTGCCTTGGGCTTTACTCTCGTGGGTTTGCTTCTGTCCATCCAATCTCTGCCCAACTCACCAAGCCATTCTGCAAAGCGATCACTGGAGAGGCTGTCGGGGATGAAGACTGGGTTTTGGCTCTATGGGAGATAATTCAAGAGGCTGAGGGTAGAGATGCAAAGAGAAGAAAAGGGAGAAGTGCAGTGGGCAGGCCTACCTGCTGGGAGAGGTAGAGGACGGTGAGATCCGACTTGGGCTGGGGATGGTGCTTGTAGGAGCCAGGCTTTGTGCTCTGGAGATGGCAGCAAGTCTGTAGGAGAGAGAGACTCTTGGCACACCTCCAAGAACATGTCTTACCCTGGAGTCATGAAACAAATAACTTCAGACTCTGGAAAATCACATACTTGAAAACTGTTAAAAAGATTCCCCCTGGCCAATGGGGACAGGGCTTCAGCTTCCCAATTTGTAGTTGGCTCCAAACGCATGGGAGGGTCCCAAAGGGGAGTAGAAGAACCAGTGGCAATTACCCAGCCTGGCTGGTTGGGTGCCCTGCCCCAGAGCAATCATGGTCCAGTGGATGACGGTGCTTGATGCAGAAGTTTCGGCCACAGCGTTCACAGGTCAGTTTCATCATCTCTCGCTGCCGGCAGCCAGAGCGTTCACACTTATTGGTGAAGATCTAGTAAAGGGGAAGGTTGAGTCGCTAATCCTTTCTCCAGCGCCAGCACTAGAGTTAGATGTTTGGGTTTCCAGGCATCTACAGAACTGACCCTTCCATCACTCACCTTGCGTTTTTGCTGTGCTGGATCAGAGCGACAGTCTCTGTCAATATGCTCTCCCACAGCCCGGTCTGGGGGCTCCCCTCTGGCCACCGGAACAGGCACATTACAGAGAGGACATACTGGTACCTGGATATCCTACAGTCAAAGGGCAGGGATCAGTCTGTGGCCCAATCCCATCTGACAAATCTCTGATCCTGAAAGAACTTGGATACATCCCACCACCCCCACAAATGTACAAGAAAACACATTGTTCCCCAGTACTGAGCCTCAGGAAGCCAATAACAGGAAATGTGAAGTAGACAGATGCTGAGGATTCTGCACGCATCTGCCCTCCACACCCTTTTACCCTCACGATCGCCCCCTCACCTTTTGGTAAGCAGATCCACAGTGATGCTGGGCATAGGCCACATGGTCTGCGCAGAAGATGCCAGAGCAGGCATCGCACTTGAGCGGCAGAAAATCTATAAGCAGTCGGATTGCAGGTCTGTCTACCCGGACCTGGATGTCCTTCCCTTTCTCTCAAGGCTGCCACTCCGGAAGGAAAACACCACTCCACCTACAGCCGTCCCCAGTACACGCTCCCTCGCCACGCCCCCTCGCCACCGCCCCCAACCCCGAGGCCACATGGTCCGCAGAAGATGCCAGAGCAGGCATCGCACTTGAGCGGCAGAAAATCTATAAGCAGTCGGATTGCAGGTCTGTCTCCCCGGACCTGGATGTCCTTCCCTTTCTCTCAAGGCTGCCACTCCGGAAGGAAAAAACCACTCCACCTACAGCCGTCCCCAGTACACGCTCCCTCGCCACGCCCCCTCGCCACCGCCCCCAACCCCGAGCCCCGCCCTTCTCGGCATTTCCAGTCCGGAAGCCCGCCCTCCTCACACCACCTGGAGACCCAAACCCCTTAGCCGCCCCGCCCCTCCCCCCGCACGCTCCGCCCCTCACCCAAGCGCTGACAGCTCGGCTCGG